CTAGTTACTTGAAAAAAGTAATCTGATTACGTAACTCGCGTTACTTGTAATGCGTTACCCCCAACACTGCATATGCATTTGTAAGAATTTCCCTTTCAGACGTATCATTCATGGGAGGAGAGTATTTAAATGAATCAAGCCAAGTGATTTACTAAGACTTGTGCTTGTCAGTTTACTGGTATTTGCACCTGTATTTAACACCAAAAAACATGTCTTAACCCATTTTGAGCTTGATATGGATGTGACAGTTGCCAATTTGCATTGCACTCTTGGTAGATTGTGTTGGTCATAATGGAAATGATTTTTCTGTGTCTGAGTTCATGAATTTGCTCATTGTCAGTTGATCACTGCAGAACTTTCCACTCCCATCAGTGTTTTATAGGATTCTGGCCTCATGATAGATTATCCTGTTTAGTAAACCTGGCCCTTTACCTTTTCTTGGCAAATCACACTTATTGGGGTTATATGAATTTCTTTGGTTCCGGTTTGTGTTACGGAGGCAAGTTAGTAATAGTTGTGCTGGTAAACCTACCTCACTCCCTTGGCCTACAGTCTTTAGCATCCTTGTTATCACACCCACTTCCCCGCTTGCAGAACTGGTTGCATTTGTGAGTTCAAAACAAATGGAGCATTCTCTGTTCACTTCTGAATGGTACACAACCCTGGTTGCTAGGTGGAGTTCCTACTCTACTGCTGTATTCAACATATGAGGCTGCCAATCAAGGAGGTTAAACTATACTTAACTTTGTCACATTGCCTAAGGCAGGAATGCCCACTCCTGCTTCTGGAGGGCCCCTGTCCTGCAGAGTTTAGCTCCAACCCCAGTTAAACACACCTGAACCAAAGTAATGAAGCTCTTCAGGATTACTAGGATTTTCCAGGCAGGTATGTTGGAACAAACTGGAGCTAAACTCTGCAGGACATTGGCTCTCCAGCACCAGGATTGGACGCTCCTGGCCTAAGGTCTTTGTCACTCATGTCCCTTTTGTTTGAATTCATTCACTTGACTGCAAGCGTAATATCCTTTTTTGAAACACCTGTTAGCTTGAGTATAAATATAGTGAAATATGTTTTTCCAACAGGGAGACTCTTGTGGACACAGAGAGCAAACAGGGTTCTGCCAGTCAGGTGACTGAAGCTGCTGAGCTCTCCTCAATGAGCAAACTTGATCCTCCAGCAAAGGGGGTTAAAAACAGTGCCCCACATCCATTCCTTCCCACCAGCAAGCTGAGTAAACCAGTGGAGCCCAGAGGCAGTGCCATGAACGTGGCTGACCTGCCCACCTTCTCGCCATCGCTGTACCCCCCCAGTGCCTTTAATTATGAGCGCCCTCGCCATTTCATCCAGTCCCTGCCCAGTTTCCACACACCCAACAATGACATCAGCAAACCCAACAGCCTCAGTCCCCCAGCTTCAACTGCTGCACCATTAGTGAGTCCTCCTCAGCCTGGACCCACTCGAACATCAATGTGTTCAAGCATGACTTTGATTCCTAAACCACAGAGCTCTCCAAACAATGAGAAACTATCATCAGCAGCTTTCCTCTCATCTGTCCTGCCTTCACTACCGAGCTCCCAGGCCAAATGCATTTCCATACCTCAATCTCCATATCCCCGGTGCTCCCCTAGATCACCCAGCCCAACACCAAAGGCCCAAGAACAGCCTCTGTCTCCTCCACGTCAGTCGCTGAATCATGCTCCTGCAACTGTCCCATGCCCGAAAACAACTGCTCCAGCTCTACAGCCCCCACCTGTGTCTCACATGAGCTACACATCCAACACGTGAGTGTGTTATCGCTGAAACGTGTCTTGAACAATGGTGTGTATGGTTATATCCTCCTACAGAAAAATGAATTAGATATTTTTAATATCAATGAGATTTTTACTTAATCTAAAAATAACTAAAATACCAATGTCCCCAGAGCTTAAAAGGGTATAGTTCACCAAAAAAATTTTATTTGCTGAAAATGTCCCCACGCTCAGGCCATCCAAGATGTAGGCGAGTTTGTTTCTTCATAAGATTTGGAGAAATGTAGCATTGCATCACTTGCTCTGCAGTGAATGGGTGCCGTCAGAATGAGAGTCCAAACAGCTGATAAAAACATCACAATAATCCACACCACTCCAATCCATCAGTTAACATCTGGAGAAGACAAAAGCTGCGTGTTTGTATATTATGGATAGAGGACTCATATTTTAGCCGCAAACAATGGTTTGAAGTTAAAAACATTTTAATGATGAATTTGTTTCTCAAAAACACACAGCTTTTGTCTTCTCCAGATGTTAACTGATGGACTGGAGTGCTGTGGATTATTGTGATGTTTTTATCAGCTGTTTGGACTCTCATTCTGACGGCACCCATTCACTGCAGAGCATCCATTGCTGAGACACTGATGCAATGCTACATTTCTCCAAATCTGATGAAGAAACAAACTCATCCTAATCTTGATAGACCTGAGGGTAATGACATTTTCAGCAAATTATCATTTGTGGGTGAATTACTCCTTTAAAAGACAAGCAATTAAGTAATACAATTTTCCCATGGGCTTTTTTATAGCTTGCCAAAGCCAATCTTGAAGAAGACTGTTTCCCGAGCAGCGTCTCGTGCCACAGATGAAGAGATTCAGGGCTCAAAAGATGCTCTTATCCAAGACCTTGAAAAGAAGCTACGGAACAAAGCTCCCCAACAAAGGAACATTCAGAAGATGTCATATGAGGAGCGAATGGCGAGAAGATTGTTGGGAGCAGATAATGCTGCCTCAGTATTTGATCTTGAAAATGCATTCATTTCACAGCCTGCACAGGTATTGTTATTTTAAATTATTTGACGTTTAATGCAACTGCTGAATATCTTTTCAAAGCTTAATATTAGAGCTCGTTAAGAGGAAATACCATGCAGTGATCATGGTGATCGTGATTTGTGCATGTGCAAACAGGCTAGAATATCTACACTCTAAAATATGCTGGGTTAAATATAGCCCAGTGCTGGGTAAAATAGGGACAAACCCAGCAATTGGG